TGGGTGGGAGGTTGACCCCTCCGAGTCATCCTGTGATAGCAGTTTCGGACCGCGCAGCATCCTCAGCAGGTGATGCTCCGGTAACCCGCAGAGCGTGTGCGAAATTGTTGGTAAGAACCGGCCTTAGATGCTTTGCCTGCTTCAGGCACAGACAACACTGCGTCTGTGGTGCAAAACAGTTCCCTATTGCCATGAGCGTCGCTGCTGCTGCTGCTGCTGCTGCTGCTGCTGCTACTGCTGCTGCTGCTGTTGCTTGTTGTAGCTGTCGTGCGCTTTCCTGTCAGTGTTCCCAGTTTCCTGGTGATGGTGATAGATTGACAGTGATAGCATGTCTCGACTGAACAGACTGTGAGGTGACATATCCGCCGCCCACTCGGCGATGTGTGCCTGGCGACTTCGGTAACACAGGCATGTGTTAATTGCGCAGGATTGCACTGCGCTTTGCAGCAGGATCGATGTACGCACGCACCGCTTGGAAGTTGACATGTGCTGAGTCTCAAGTCATGCCGCAATCAAGTTAAGTATCCTTGATTGGTTGGTTTGCGCGCTCGCTTCAAGCTCTTGGTCACGTAGATGACGGGAGACACAATGGAAGAGGTCCACGAGGTGTCGAGGGGCCGCGACAGCGACAGCCCCCCGACCAGGAGGCTTCGTGTGAAGACGCCTCCCAAGTCCTTCAGAAAGGAAAAGGCTACAGCTGTGAAGAGTGCAGCCAGACCTGCTGCGCCTGCCAGCTCGGCAGAAGCTTCAGTTACAGCAACAGCTTCAGACTGGAGCCCGACGCACCAGGCGAATGCAGTCAAGCTGCTGTTCTCATGGCCCAGACGTATGTGGGACGCCTTTGTGCAGTTTCGTCGCAGTGTGAAAGATGCTGCAGGACGGGACCAGGCTCACTTTGAGGCTGCGGGTGCTGTCGTGAGAGCAAACAAGCGCCAGAGAACTCAGTGGAGTTCGGATGGTGCTTGCGAGACAACGCTTGCAGGCTCGCAAGCAGAGCAGGACGAGGAGGAGCGTGAGACGATCTTGCGAGGCATGCTTGGCGTTATGTCCGAGTTTACAATGAGCACAAGCTTCAGCGGCATAGATGCCCCAGCAACAGCCTTCCTGTCGCTGGGCTTGGGTTTGTGCCAAAGTTTGGATTTGAGTGTGGATCACCTGCCACGCCCGCGGAGCACCTTTGCAGTCGAGTGGCAGCCTTCTTGCCAGCAAGAGCTCTTACGCCACCCTCACGCCGCAGAGCACGTGTTCGGAGACATCAGCGATTTCTTCAGGCCCACCCTCCGGGCCAAGCTTGACAGCATTGTGGCCGAAGGGAAGATCGACTCAGTCCTGTGGCCATTGATCAAGTCTGGCAATGCTATGAAGCAGGAAGCTTTCTGCGTGAAGCACCAGAAGATGTGTCAGGCAGGGGCAGGTTCATTGTGCTGTCTAGGTGGGGCGTAGCGATAGTATGTCATTGTGCTTTAGGGTGATTCCAACAAGTGTGCAGTGGCTGGCAACAGTGCTGCCACGGTATGTTTGATGTTGTATAATTGTACATGCTTGTCCGGTCAGGTCGACACGGCTCGATGCCACTGCGGGGGAACTCCGTGCACGGATTTTTCGAGCAGAGGGCTGCAGCTCAGAAGCGAGGGGAAAACATTCGTTCACTTCTTGGCCTTCTGCGGCATGAGAATTTGTCTTCAAGAGCCAGTTGTGATACAAGAAAATGTAGAGAACTTCGAGACGGAGCTGCTTGAGCGCTACCTCGGGCAGTTGTATCACATCTCAGTAGAATGTTTGTCGCCCGACCAGTACGGCTTCCCGATCCTAAGGCCAAGGAAATGGTCGATTTTGCGGCACAAGTACAAAACATCCTGCTGGGCATCGCCGTGGTCAGCCTTTGCGAAGATGTTTCAGAGCGACATGTGGTTCGGAGCCTATGCAAGATACATTTCTGATCAGGTTCCTGCTTGGGTTGTGTATTTTGATGCAAGTGCAGAAGAGTTGTTCGAGGAACTGTGCTGGGCATGCAGCCGTCCTGAAAGCTTGTCGAAAGATGCAGGGTGCCCTTTCGCTTCAGCAGTCGAGCTGAAGGAGGCTATGCTCAAGAACCCAGCAGCTGTTCGTTCCGCCTTCCTTGCAGCTTTGACAGCAGCTGAGAGCTGTTTCTTGGAACACTACCAGTCCAGTCGGCCTGGCCAAGTTTTTTCCTTGAACCAGAATCCTGAAGTGAGCATGACGGCAAGCCAGCAGACACATTTGCGCACCATCATCCGAAACACTGGCATTCTTTGGTGCCCTGCCAGCAAGTAGTGAGCAGTCCGGAATCTTGCGATTGTCTTGTGGCGGGGGGGGATAGAGGGGTGAGGGGAGAGGGTAGGCACGCAAACATGATGTTCGCTCTTGGTTCGTTCGCTGTTTGTTGAGTGGAGGAGATAGGAGAGTGTCGAAAATGAAACCCAAAACACCAAAGCCCCAAAACTTGATTCCCAAAGCCTTAATCAGATCCAGCTAAACCGACGTCCCAGGTCCGACCGCCACGGGCGGTGGTTGACAGCTTCCGAAACTCTGCGAGCTCAGGCTTTTCCTGTTTCGGTTGAGTTGAGTGACGGGATTCCTTTGTGTAGCTTTGCTTGCCCTGGAAGTACTGGGTCCGGGCGCACAGCCCGCTCCGCGCAAGCAGGAAACAGCATGCATTGTATGATTGCGGCCGTTGCAGTGCTGTATGCTGCTGCAGAAGTCAAGCTTCAGAGGCCACGGAGTTTTTCTTCTTCGCTGTTTAGTCTTGCAGCACGGCTGCGAGCAGGATGATGTGCCCATCAAGGATCAATGTGTTTAGTTGGAGAACGCCTGTTGCAGCCTGTTGCAGTCCTCCATGAGGCCATGGCCATACGGGCCACACGGGTCGCAGTCACTGCTCGCAACTTGCGTCGTAGAGTTGAAAAGTTCTGTGAGTCGAGTTATCATGGTTATCCGTGTCAAGTGTGAACTACTCGCTGCTACTAGTCAAACTTTTTGTGTGTTGTGATCATAAAGTTCGAACCTCGTGAGTGCAGCTGTTGCAGCCTGTGCTTTGTAGTCGGTTGTGGAATTGAGTAGTCAGGATTCAATCGTCTTGAGCAGGAAGCGTGCATGTGCGCTCGTGTGCTGCTGCAGCATATGTTGAGTGCGGTGTGGTTGTGTGAAGCAGGAGTTGGCCGTGTGAGATTTTGTGCGATTGCGCTGTTGCACGTTGCAATGGCTCGAAATCTTCGGCGACAGCGACGGCCGACTTTCCCGTGCGGTAGCTGGCCTGCGGCATACACTCCGCATCTCGTTGCATAGTTGATTGTAGTTGTACAGGTCAGTGCAAGTGCATTGCGTGCATGGCAACATCATTGAAGAAGCCTGAGACGGGAGGGCTGGAAGCAGCCAATGATGCGATTTGGGGAAAGCGGAGTCTCAGCGAACGCTTCGGCAACGCCTCGGGCAAGGAACTCCAAAGCAAGATTTTTGAAATGTACGAGGCGGGTGACGCATACCGTGCTTCAGTTGTTTCCTTGAAGTCTCAAGTGACCTTTTTATTGACCTTTCATCCTGCAGAGTGTTCTTTGAATCTTTGAATCTGTAACTTGTGGTTTTGAGCAGGTGACCAAGGGCGGTGAAGGCGGAGTGCGAGTTCCATGGTACATGCCGGACAATTCGCGGAATATTGTCAGGCATTCCTGCAACCAGCGGAAGCAACAATCAATTCGACGTTCTTATGTTCGTGCCATCCTTGAATACGGAGTGGCAGAAGGATGCCGCGGTGAGTGCTGGTTGGTGGAGTTCCTTTCCTTCATAAAGTCATAAAGCTTAATTGTAGATTGTAGCGCCCTCGCCGTGCAGGCTGTTGTGCAAGTTCCTGTTACGAGGCCAGCCCAACCGGGACAGCCGTATCAGGCCATTACATTCGGCACGTTGCCGAGCGCTCGGTAGGTAGTTGGAACACAGCATGTGTGCGAGGCCAATCCTGAGGCATGGCATGAGCTGTCGCAAGTAAGGTCGGAAGCGTTTTACGAGGCAGATGAAAAGCATGGCGAGAATGCGCAGGTCGTTGCTACCCGCAAGAGCGGGATCAGAGCACGCGTGTTCGCGAGCAAAACCCCGACGGACATCCTGACGCATCTTGTCATCAATTTTTGTGTCTGAGCCGAATCTCTTCAGCAACTCACTTGTCAAGCTTTATATTTGCGCATTGTGGTCGGAAATCGCAAGGTACTTGAAGGATCTTAACAATCAGTTCCACCATGGTGGCTCCATCAGTTTTGTGGAATTGGTGAGCGGTGTCACAGAAGTAGATGAGGCCGCTGCTAGGGTGTTCTGGAAAGGTGTTCGTTTCAAGGTTGCTGCTTGGCACGATGCACGCACTTTGGCCTGTTGCAGGCTTTTCGCGCCTACGCCGAAAGGGCTCGGATAACGTCGAGAAACTCCAATTATCACGAGCAGCACAGCTTGTGGCTGCAGCAGTCAGAATTTAAAGAGACATGGTGAATGCAGAATGCTGTGTTGCTGCGACATGTTGTTCTGTCCACTAGGGCAGTCACTAGGGCCGCTCGGGTTTAGGATGGTTTTGGGTTTAGGGCCCTCCCCCTTATACCATTTAAATATCTGACTTGAAGCAGCCTGTCCGAAATGCACTACGTAAGTCAGATCTTTCAGACTGTACTCGAGTTTAGGAGTTGAGGTATCCGGTTTGGTTCAGCCTTGGAAGCGGCATTTTGCCACGACGGTATAGCGGAGAACGTTGTTTGCAGATTTCTGGCTCGTGATGCTCCCATAACCATAGATTTCGCCCCAAAGCCGGCTGATGCTCATGATTGCATGCGCACCCTAAACCCCCCCAAACACTTCACGCAAACCTCCCGGTTTGGCCGCGCGAAACCGGGAGTCGCGGCTCCTGTTATTGCACCAAGCCCCAAACCGCCTGATGCTCATGATGCTGGCCTGGGGGCGGGCCCATGGCGCAGCTGATGCTCATGATGCTCCCTTTCATTTCGGCGGAAACACGGCTGATGCTCATGATGCTCGTTTCTGGTGGGGGCAGGTTGCTTACGCTCTTTGATTTGTGGGGCCTTTTTGGTGCACCCATTCGTGATTCAATACCCAACGGGGCCTTTGGCCGCAAATCCGATCGTGTCAGGAGAAGTATGATGTTGCATCTTTCAAGTTGTCTCGTGCGTTACGGAACAAGCTGGCTGCGTGGGGGCTGATACAGACTTTCGAGAATTTCTACGGCGAGCATGCAGATTTTCTTCATCAAGAGCTTCCGAAGGCAGAAACCACTCTTGCCTGCATGAACAGCTTCGCTACCGTGCTGGAGTCACGCTTCAGTGGCCAGCCTCCCTCGTTGGTTGGTCAAGTCTGGTTCGAAGTCTCCAAGTTCTGTGTCATGCCCTGAGAATCTAGAAGAGCGGCGTCAATTGATCTCTTGTTTTCGAGTGCTGCAGCTCGAGAGTCCAGCGTAAGCTTTTCGATGTGCGAAGCATCTGTGATTGTGAGGTCCCACTGCTTTCGGGAGACGGTGGAGCGGCACGTCAGCCGCCGTTCTTGTTCAGCAAGGGCCCCGAGTCAATAGCTGTGACAGAGGCACAGCAACGGTTGTGCTGCCCGGTGGCTGGAGCTGTGTTCGTAAAAAAGCTGGCGATGAAGGGGCAGACTCAGAGTGCTGATGCAGCGCCCAAGAAGAGACCCAGGGTTCCGGATTTGAGTGACGCGGTGCCCAAGAAAGTACCAAAGGCAAAAGGCAAGGCGAAGGCTAAAGCCAAGGCTGCATCGGGAAAAGATGCGGCCAATGTGTTGGAGCCGGAAACACGGGAATCGTTGCAGGCGGATGTGGAGTTCGGGCTAAGCAACGAAACAACCGATGGGCGGCAAGGATTGCCTGCGGGGTCAAGACAACGGCTTTGGTTGGATGATGTCCTAGCAGCGCTGCAGCGTTGTCAGACAGGTCCTTTCGCAGCTGTTGCATCGACCAAAGCTGCGGGGCAATTGGTTTCAATGCTTTTGTCATTTGCGCTTGAGTTCGCCTTTACCGGCTCCGTGCGGCTTCAAAAGACAAAGCCGTTGAAGGTTTGGTCTCAGGCGGCCCGGTTCAGCAGATCAGGTGGAGCACACATGAATTTACTGTTCGAGTAGAGCCTAAACCCTGAACTCAAAACCGAGGTACGACCAGCTCTCCAGAACCTCTTCGTGGCTGCACTGTCGCGCGGTCAGGCCGCTTTGCCCGGAGGATCAACTTCCGAGGAGATCTTGGGGAAACTGGCCCAAGACATTGCTGCTGAAGGTGCGACCTCTCTGCGGTCTCTCGGCAGTACGCCAAGATCCAGCCATGATGGTGCCACTCAGGGCGCAGATGTGTTGCGCAATCCGACGGCCTGTCAGGAATGCATGAGCTTTCTGATGACAAACAGGGAGAAAGACATTCGTAAGCAGCCGGCCTACTTTGCGTGCATGAGCAAACTGCGCACTGCCTTGTGCCAGTGCCCTCAATCACCAGATGAGTGGGATGCATCGACAACGTGTTCCTTCCATGATTCGTTGCACACTGTGGCTGACTTGACGTGGGCAATTTCCACGATCATGGAGCAGGAGTCAGTAATCCCTGCGTCGGCTCCAGCAGTCGGTGCGGCGGGTTTGCAGTTGGTCATGAAGGTGCAAGAGCAGGCTGAAAAGGAAAAGGTTGAAAGTGCCCAGGCGACGGGCGACGCTAGCAGCTGCAGTGACACACGAACTTCAAAGGCACAGGACCCACAGCCCAAAAATCGAAGCCACATGTACATCGGTAGTGTGATTTTGACTGTGATGTTTCCGGATGCACGCCGGTGCTATTTGTGCATCAGTGGGTTTTTGGGGTGTGTCTCAGTGGGTTGTTGTCTTCGTGGGTGTCCAAGAACGCATTTTCCTGAAAAGATTGAGGCCCGTGCTTTCAAAATAAACAACAGGGTGCTCAATACGACATTTTGTGACAGCACGTAGCAGCAGTTGTGTGTGGACTCCCGCGTGAACTAAGTTGTGTGTGGGCTCCCGCGTGAACTCAGTTGTGAACATGTTTGGATGTGATCGGTGATGCAGGACATGCTGCAAAGCGCCATCGTGAAGGAAGGCCGCTTCCTCTTGGAGAAGCAGGGGGAGGGTTCCGCTGACGATGGAGAAACGAAGTGGGCTTTGAATGGAAGCCTTGTCGAGAGCTTGCTGACTGTGCGGGCGAAATACGTGCTGTCCACGATGCTGGGTTTGATTGTCAAGCCTCAGTTTGAGCCCTCGGCGGCGAAACCCAAATTGGTAGAATTCGAGGATTTGGATGCTCAACAAACAGAATGGCTTTATGATCTGTTGGTGTACATGTGCAAAAGCGGCGAATTCACGGATGCTCACGCTTTCATCTTGGAGCTGGAGTCCCGCTACATGCTCCAGACTCCGGGCGATGCGGACATGAAGACGTGGTCCTCTATGTGGACTGAAGTCATTGAGAGGGCCCTTGCTGCCCGCAACAAGCATGTGAAGACCAAGGGCAAGGACGAGACTGTTGAGCTGGGCAAGACGCTGCCTGCCAGCAAGATGGTAATCAACAAGAGCTTCTTCAAGGAAGCATCGTTGGCAGCAGCGGCTGCTGGGTCGGCGGAGCCCGGCGAGGTCAAGGTGGAGGACAGCGGCCACCCCTCCGAGCAGTCCGAGCAGAGTCAACAGGAAGTCCAACCAGCGGTGCCTTACTTTCAGTCGATCTACACGGCGACTGCTCAGCAGGGCACAATCCACACGTTGGATGTTCTTGCAGTGCAAACACAGGTTCAAAACACTTTGTTCATGCGAGCAGGGTGGCTCAACTTGCACTACAGATCTCTGTTGCGTTCGGTTGTGTGTGTGGGGGGGGGGGGTGCGTCATCCCAGCTTCATCCCAGGTGCAGTTCATCCAAGAAGCTGCTGGAGGGAATGTACTCGGATTCCCGCAGCTCTGCCGTCATAGCGGCGACGTCTCTCTCGAAAGAGTTGGCAGGAGAGCGGATCTTTGCATTCGGCAGCGTCAGCACAGAGCAAGGCCCCAAATCCGTGAAGGCCGGGACTAGCTCAGGAGCGTACGATTGTTGTGTTTTGTGTTTGCGTCTGTCTGCCTGTGTTGGGTTTCGGGATTTCGTTGATATGGTCTGATATGGGCAGGTGGCTTCGGCAACGTTTGGCAACGGCGGCAACGGGATCACGATGCACTACTTTATGTCTGCAGAGGGCTTCCAAAAGCTGACTTCGCTGTGTCCTTGCCCGGTATGGTTTGTCAAGGCTGTCGCCGATGCAAAAAAAGCTCTTTTCGTGAGCTCGGAGCTTGAGGAGACCATGGAGTGTTCCGATGCGCATCTTGTCTGTTTTTTCCCATGGCCTCAGTGTTTGTTCGATTATCCTTGTTTCGGATGAGAAGACATGTGCTACTGAGGCATGGTGGCAAGGTTACTGTTCACCTGCGGGTGCCCTACATTGCGATTCGCGAAGAGGCTCGTCCGATGGCCGATGGGTCAGATGCGCTTTCTCTGGTTTTGGCATGAAGACAATGAATGCATCATCGGTGTCTAGCATCATGTGTTTCGCAGGCGGTGTTGAGCTTGATCCAGAAAGAGGCCGTGCAACCGCAGGGAGAGCTGTACTGCACGCGCACGTACTTCCCAAATGAGAAGGCTACAACCGGTAAGAAGCAATCCGTCCAACCGCAAGTGGCATTGGGTGGATTGTGCTTCAGAAAGCAAGAGGGTCAAGAAGGCGGCATGCTCAAGGTTGAAAAGCATGACGACATGCTGTTGGTGCATCCTGGAAATCACCCGAAGCATTGCAGCCATCTCCTGAAGTGAGCGGTTCGTTCATCAACTCAGATCGAACATAGTTTTGTTGTAGTTTGCATGGCATCCGATGCCTCCTGCTGCAGTGATATACAAAGTACAGTTGAGGCTTTGGTGTGGCCCTCTAGTAGAGACATGGGCGGGACAGTAGCTTGTTGCGCCTAGGGCTTCTGTTGAAGCGGCAGCGGGTGTTGGCTTGGCAACTGTTGTGATGGTTGCCTCGCAGGTGTTAGCTTGTGTCACTGCGAGTCTGGACAGTGGGCGGTTCGACCGGTTCACCTGCCAATATAAATCTCTCTGGAAAGGAAGCGGCTGCGATAGAAAAACGTTTGCAACTTTACGTCAGATTCACAGCAGTGCAGCAGTGCAAGCGTGGTTGAGTGCAGCATCGCAGGTCGAAGTGCAAGCAGTATTCACATCGTTTTGAGTTCCACCTGTGCTTTCTTTGGTTGTGACCACATGCCAGGAGTTCGGAATGCTGAGACGTCACAGTGATGTCTCAAAGAAGAAGATGGAACTTATGCTCCGGAGTGCAGCAAAAATAAGAGCCCGCTCGTTTCCGAGTTAGGTTGCGTGGTAGTCAAAACTAGTCGACTAATCTCCCGTGATCAGAGTGCTGCAGAAGGCAGTACCTCAGTTATGCAAGCCGACAACATGTCCCAGGCGGGGGCGTGAACATAGACACCCCGAAATCCTATTCACAACCCCGGCCCCTCAGCCGATTCACGAGTGGACCTTCTAACCCATTGTGACCCAAACTCTCGCATCAATGCAAGCACTGGGACACCCTGTCATGAGCTGGCCTCGTTTTCAAGGCCCACGCTGTGCAACGCCTGGCTCTGCTATCTTCACAGACATGCCGGCTATGCCAACTATGCAGCTCAAGAAGACTATCAAGCTATTTGCAATACGTTTTCTGCCTGCAACAGCCCCGGAACAGCTTCAGAATCTCCACCTGCGCATTCACGGGCAACGGCTGGGAGACGAAGGTACGGAAGCAGCGTTAGAAGAAGAAGCCACTGCTAACTTTGGCGTTCAGCATACCATACAGCCTGCAGAGCCCCAGGAGACTTCCTCGCGAGCTGAAGCTTGGCTAGCGTTTTGCTCTTCTGCCGACGCAAAACTTCACTCTGCTCGGGCCCAGTCCAGTCTCTTCCTCTTCCGTAAAGTTTATGTTCCCACGCCACCCCTCCTGGCCTGTAGCCCCAGCTCTGCCCTTCATGGCAAACTTACCTCATGGCACCCCCTGTTGTCTTGTCGGTCCTGCGCTGGCGGTGCACCCCAGGCGACCTTCAGGGCAACAGATATCAACGGACTCAAAACCAAGGCACCGACGCAATCGTATTTAAAGCTTTCGTCGCTGCGAAACCTGAACATAGTGCATAGTGACACGACATAAGTGTTCACTTCGGGGTAAAACGAAAGTTCCTGTAGCACTGGCAGATTTCCCCTGTTTAACGTTGGAAGCCACCCGGCCTCTGTTGCCTGCGGCGCGTCTCCCCACAGGTCACCGCTCTTTCCATCCTGTCCAGCGCCACGCTTGGTATAGCATTCATTCCCTCTTGGACGAAAAGTGCATCTGCATGCATCAGACATGTCAAGCTTCACACCACCCAAGATACCCGAAGCGAAAATGCCTGGCCGAAATGGCCCGCCTCTTCCAGCTCGGGCGCAGGCTCCGCTGCCTCGGATGTGTGCTGCAAGCAGAAGTGTCGGACGGCTCTGACAAGCAAGGGCACGTAACATGAAATAATACAAGTCAATGTTATCGCTCTACTGAGAAGTGCCTGCACTGCACAGTGCTCACTTTTCAAACGTGGGGTCACAGCTCCAGCTGGGTCCAGGTGCAGGATATGTTCAGAAAGTCGGCCGAAGCCGGGCAACCAGTCCGATCACAGAGCCGGTAACAGAACAGCTGCTGAGATTATCACGGAGGCCCGGCCATCACCATCCACCACCAAAATTTACACTGCAGCCAAACCACTTTTTACATGTGCGGCAGAAAGCAGCCGAAACTTTACGTTGCCGCAAAGAACAAGGTTGTCACCGAACAGCTTGCCACGCAGAAGCCGCTCGGTGTCGTGCGTGCTGCAGCTTCGAAGACTTCTTCCGGGCCACCGGGAAGCCGCCCAGACTCAACAGGCTTTCCAGAAAGGGGGGTGCTGCGGCAACCTTTTGGTCAGCTTCATCACAGCTGTCATCAGAAGCAAGAACACATCAACTGGAGCTGCTGCTCTCATCATCCATCGTGATCTCAACAGCCCCAGAAGGCACGGCAGCAGGCTCGGAAGCGTTGCTGCCTGCAGAACAGTTCAACCTGTCAGAGGGGCTGGAGACAGCCACACTAGCTTTCGCCAGGGATCATTGCTCAGAGCCCCAGCATGACGACAGTAAAAAAACGTTCTGAAGCAAATGCGCTCTAGACCTCACCTCACCTGTGTGACCTACCCAATGCACCTGCTTCAAGTACCGCAGGGCCGAGGCGGACGACGCGATGCATTCAAAAAATAACGAAGCCCCACATGTACACTCACCAGTGTTCCCAAAGATTCCTATCTTTGCTTACTTACACGTATATACCACATATATATATATATATGTATTATGCATATGCAGATACCGATATAGCTCATATACACACACTTGCCAAAACCTGCAATGTCAACCCTAATTACTTCACATACGACCATCTCTCTAAAATCATACTTTGATTTTCCCAGTACTCGGCTTCTGCTTCGCACTGATCCGCAACTCGGCCCCAGGCCTCGGTCTCGCCTACAGGCCTGAAGCTGTTCAGAGCCAACAGATTCTTGCTCCCATGTTGCGCTGCTTCGGGCATACGAGCTCAAGATTGACTGAAGCTGAATCGGACCGAAGATCTTCAAGTCGGATACGATGAAGACCCACTAGCTCACTTCTCGCCTTGTGCGATGCGTCTGAGCTCCGACCCATATCCTGGCAAGGCAAAGCGAGATCTACCCGGTGCCGTGCACCACAGCGTGCTTTCACCGCATTCTTGAGACCAACGCTGATCGTTTTTCAGTCAGTAGGATGTACGAAGTGGGGGGGGCGAAGCCAAAGAAGCGCCCAAGCACTTGAAATAGGGTGAAAGAGAGAAAGGCACTGCCAGCTGTGAAATCTGCTGGTGTAGCCGGCCCAGGGCTCAGCAGTTAATGCCACAACTCTTGAGATGTCGCTGCTGTGCGTTGTGCGTGTGTTCAGTGGCATGTACTGATGTAGACGGAGATGGATACACACCCAGCCTCCAGGATCGAAACTACATACTACCTTCATATAAGCTGGTACAGACTTGCCGCAGGCTCGCCAGTGTCATGTGTAGGCGTGGAACTGCCGTGAGAAGAAACCGAAGGAGCAATGCATGCGAAGCCATTGCAGCCTCTTTGCTGAGTTCTCCCTCGACGGTGGCTCCTGCAACCGGCTGTTTGCGCAGTCCAGTGACGCTTCCAACATGTTAGATCTTGTAATGTTACATGCGGCGCCCTCCCGTGCGAACTGTGTTGCGATACATAGTGCTCACCACTGAAATCGGGGATCTATGCAGCAACACACAGAAAGTAGCCCAGACTTTTTTCTGATGGTCTCAGGCCTCGTCAGGTTCTGTCGGGAGCTCCGCTGCACTCCATTCCACCTTCTCCACAGACTGAGGAGCGGGGCGGCGAATCAAGTGGGTGACAGGGGGAGATGCGGGCATGATTTGTATGAGGGCACAAGCGATTGATTGCTCTTAGAACTGGGCATTCTGCGAGTGGAGCTTCGAGCTTTTACATGGGACTAGCCTGCCTATTTGTTGCACTCGAAAGCACCGTTTACCAAAAAGCAATGAAAAGGAAGCACTCTCGTATTCGTATCGTCGGCTCATGCGACAGTGCAATTGAAGCTGCTGTGTACTGCTCGAGCTGCCTGGGTGCCGTAGTACTGCAAAATTCCTGGCAAACTGTGCTTGAACCGCTTGAAGTCATGACTTCAGGCAGCTTCTGTTTGGTGATTTAGAACACTGTTCAGTCCAATGCTCTTCGCCTTCCACAAGCTCGCGGCGGGCAGCCTGCAACAGTGAAAACACTGAGCAGGCTTGTGCCCTGGCAAGAGAGATTTCTTCCAGCTTTTAAGTCCCTGCAGTGGGCTGGCTCAGCACTCTCCACTTCTCGCCATTGCAGGCCCCGTAACCTCGACTGCGCATGCAGCACCAACAATGTCGATGGCGAGCCTGTCACAGCAGATCGGCAAGACTGCCGCCATGTACCAAGGTGCTCCATAGCAGCCAATCAAAGTTTTTATCTTGCTTAGAACGTCTCATCTTGAAACTTGGACGTTACGTACGTAAGCCTCGACAACCTCTCAACAAGGCAGGTGTGCCCGGCAGGCAGCCCGTGCTTCCTGGCACACACGTTACGCACAACCCAGATTGGCATAGCTTGGTGGGGCTTGCTCGACGTCATGTTAGTTGAAAAGTCAGGGCTGGAGCTCTCGCAGATGCTTTTCGGAGCAACGATCAACCGAGGTCAGCGGCCTGACTTCCGACAATCTCGCCGACGCCAAATCAAACTTGGCTGCCAGAATGTCCAGGTCACCCTGCCGGTCCAAACAGAAGCTTTGCAGAAAGCCTCCAAGCCTTCAAGCCTGCGAAACTCGTACCAGTGTTGTGAAAGTGGACTCTTTCTACCACATCTTGGATTCTTTGACGACGTTGCCCAAGCAGCTTCTTCGTCTGACGAAGAACGCGCGCTGTGCTCGCCTCCAGGTCGTGCCTTGCTAGGGCAGACAAGGACCGCAGCCACGCGGGTGATGCCCGGAATGTGGCCTGCACCAGGAGTGCAAAGGAAGAGGATAGAGGTCTGATCCATGGAACCACACCTGTTCCCCTTGCGACTCCAGCGTGAAGCCACTGGGCCTGACGTGTCCGGTGTCGGTCAAACTATGACGCCTGACACGTTGCGGACATCTCATGACAGTTCGACGACACTCCGCGCCATTCACACCTTGCTTTCCTGTGTACCTAAACCAGAGCCCCTTGAATCCTTGATGCCCCGCCCTGCTTGCGAGACGCATGTATGAGACCAGCGGAAACGACGAGGTTACGGATGGCTCATGATGGCTCCGCAATTAAGGGAGCCTCGCGTGTCGATGGGGATGCGCATGTTCACCGCCGACCTGCTCAAAGCAGCGGCCCGACCGGCGTTCAGCCGCTCACACATGTCACAAACCATAAATGAACCCTTGTTATAGCTGGACCTCATAAAGCTCCAAGCAGCCGCAGGGTGGTGGCACGAGGCGTGCCTGATGTCGTCTTTTGTGAAGTCGCTTCAAGAAAGGACGGCAGTACCTCCGTCCGTGGATCGCCACGAGCCCAGATGTCGTAGTCTGCATCTGGAAAGAAAGCGTTTGCATCCTCGTGAACTTGCGCCAAGCCTTTTAGAGGGCCCTATCTGCAGCATACAGCCTACTGGCACTGCAAAAAATGCGAACCTACAAGCATTGCAGTGTCCTTGGTGCCCGCCCATTGCCGCTGTTGCTGGTTTATGGCGAGCCTCGCGAACATCTCAGCCCAGCATGTGTGACAGTGCTGACCCGTCTTTGGCATCACCCTTCCGGCTGGGCACCCGGCATCAGGTTGTCGTAGGCCTCTTTCGCATAGTCAGCTGTCTCCTTCGGTGTGTATCGCTGTGTGTGGCCGATTGCAGAGGCACGAGCTGCTTCGTTGGGAGGCTCCTGCTCAGGCGATGCCAGCAGCTCATCCATTGCCATCCGGAAATCATTCAACAGTGCCCTGGAAAAAAATCAGGGTGCTCACCGCCCACTCACAATCCGAAGAGCCGCCACAAAGAACCTGATTTTCCGAGCTGCCGGCATCTCCGGAGGACCCCACCAGCCAGGAGCAAAGGATAAGACCATGGGCCGTGCCTCGGTCCACGGAGTCTACGGAGTCTACCGCATGGCTGGTGCCGACCGGCATGTCTGTGGCACACAAGCTATTCCGCGCGGACATCCATATCTATGTACAGAGCTACTCTCTCCCAGGACGATCCACTCATGATTGCAATTGTTGCAACAGAGTGAGCTGTCCGCATGTTGTGCTGAACCGCATGCGCCTGTCTAAGTGCCGGCACTTGCGCAACTACAAGGTGATACCCTTGACAACTGGCTTCTGACTGACTCTTAGCTCAACAAGCTGGACTAATGCTCTCAGCTTCAGATGAGGAGGATGCCGACGAGGCATCCTTCAGCTTAGTCAATGTGGTTCAAGTCTTCAGACAACCCACAAAGGCGCCCCCGTGCTTTGCACGAGAAGAGCATCGGCTGCTGCTGGCCGCAACGAGTCACACGTGCTAACAAGTCAAAATCATACGGAGACACACAACGCCAAGCTCACATGGATTTCCAGCTGACGATAACTCTCCTAGACACTCAAGCTAATCCCGAGACCAAAACCCGATGCTTACCCAAATTCCCAACTGGGGAAAAAAAACCAAAGCATCGTAACATGCCCTGGTTGTGTTCGGCGTCTACCTGTCTCCCGCCAGGCCTCCCGCGCATCCTCGGCCTCTGCTATCCTGAAGAAGCGGAAGCTTGACTACAAGGACTGCATTCATAAAGCCTTACCACGCATCGTGAGGACAGATACGCAGTAGGGTATCAAACAACAAAGACAACCATGGCAACACTGCACTTCCTGTCTGTTCACGGGATGGTGCATATTGTTCGTGCTGCGCATTGCTGCGCACATGTAGATAGTTAGTCACTTTGCCCGCAGCGCTTGCCGTGCTCCAATGATCACTTCTGAACCGGCCAAAGTTGGGACAACGGCTGGTAATTCTCACGAGAAATGCTCAAATGCTCTCCCGCGAATCACGGATTCCTTGGACTCTTTGCCATCTTCGTGGAGCTGTCACGTGCATCCGAGGTGTTCGAAAGCTTGAACAAAACTCCAGTCGCGAGGAGACCATCTCAAAGAATTTTCGCGGGCCCACACTGCCGTCTGTGACAAGGGCGTTTTGTCTTCCAGGGAGTCCTTGGTTTTGTTCGTTCTTCGGTTTCCCCGTACTCAATATGGTTATCTGGAATATATCACATTCTTGGACTTGTAGCACTTCCCAGGCATGTTTTGAAGCACATGTCGCCTGTGATATCCTGATACAACAAGCCCTGCACTGTCTCCAGAAAGCTTTCACTTGGGAGCAGAGCACTGTGCGTCAAAAAGCCTCGTTGAGCGTTTGGACATCTAAAATGGAGGAGGGATTCGTGCACATCGCAGACTTCGACAAGCCGCTTGGATGTTGCGGCTCCGCAGCCGGACTTTCTCTAGAACTTTTGTGCAACCGCACAAACCACAAAGAACGAGTTATGCTTCAAGCATGCTTGCTACAGATGACGTTTGTCTGCATGTGTGCACGATCGTGCGCGCGTGTGGAGGCTCTCCGACATGGCAACCGGAGGTAAGCGGCCTGCAAGATCGTTCACGCGACAGACTCAATCTCAATATCTTGGCAACGACAGCAATGGAACTTGATGTGGTTCACTACTGGGCATGCTGCATGGTTCCGTGCCGACACTCCGAGTAACAACTTGCGAAGGTGCTCTACGGCAACTAGGCATCCCCTCACTCTCCTGCCTTACAAGGTAGATGCAACCAGCGACACGCTTTGCGACTTGCCAACGCAGGAAAGCCGCTCCCTGTGGGGCACTAGATGAAGTCTGGAGCTCCGAAGTCAAGGCCCAAGGCACTGTTTCAGCGCGGAGATGCGCGAGGAGCAGCTGGCCTACAAGAAAACTGAGCTCCACAGCAGTTCCGCATACTTGGCATACTTGCCCTTGGGCATTTCGGCTCACAGGTTTGAATCGCAGCGTGACCACGTCCATGCTTCTAACTCAGAGCATGACGGCAGGCTCGCAAAATGCACTTTTCTCGAGCACATCCACAGCACAGCGAACCCGTGAGACCAGTGTGGCAACATCTGGGCATCTGTCCTGCCAGGCTCCAAAGCACAGCTTGCTCAGGCCGACGATAAGCCAATATCATGCTTGGGCTGGGCATGTGAGAAGCTACTGCGGCTAGCCAGCATTTTGGAACGACCCAGTTCGAGCTAGAATCCTGGTCCGAAGCATCCGTGGCCCTCGAAATGTCTTTGGGGCCGTTTTGGGAGTGCCTCCCATCGCTCCGCCATGGCCCAGGAGATAGCGGACCCCAAGCCTTCCAGAAAAGGCTCAGGCAGCTCCTGCAGGTTCTCTCTGCCGTCTCACAGTCAAAAACGGCAACGCAAAGGCACACCTCCTCTCCAGCTGCCTCTTGCAGCTGCACCTACAGGGAACTGCCAATCTGAGTGAAACGAAGCTACCGCTGCCCTCCCAACGCTTTCTCCGTTAAAACTTGGCCTTGAGCAACTCTGGCGTTCGGTCGGGCAGGCCCTTCCTAAGCAATTTCCCAAAGCATGGTCATGCCCACGACATCTCACGACTCACCAAGACCCCAGTTGACAGGTTGGGGTACCTTGTCCGCTTCAGCAGCAGCCAAAGCAATGTTGCTGCACATCCTCAGCAAACAAATGGAATCTTGAACTCTAGAATTTCAATCAGCGGCGCACGTTTTGCTGTTGCCAGGGTGCCAAACACATCACTGCGAGGACCGAAACGCCCCTCCACAAGCTCCGCTGCCTTCACGACAGGATCATGTGGTGCTGAGCTTGCGAGGGTCAACGCCAAGGCCTGGAAGTCGCCTCGGCGCTGGAGTTTCGGTGCCGAGCCGCCTTCGGTGAGAGCACTGCAGGCCCAGTCCACCAGGCAGGCCTCGAAGCGAATTTTATCATGTAGCCTCCAGCCTCGGCACACTATAAACTCTGAACCATGCTATGCGGCCCAAAGCCCAACCTGCACAGTCACCATGTGGCACTGGCTGTCCCAAGTCAAGTGACACGCTATCGATAGCGATTTCCAGGGCCAGTATCGTATGGGTAAAATGCGGTATGGCAGCGAATTCCTGCATCAGACATCATCCAAGGTGACGTTGCTAGGATGTCGCGAGGGCATGCCTGTGTTCAAACGAGTTAGTCGGGACCCCTGCACCGTGACGACCGGACTCGGAGCCTGTGGAGAGTTTGCACTTGCCTGCTCCGGCTCCTCGCATCAGTTTGAAATCATTTACAGAGAGCAGCTGCGAGTGGGTCCTCCCTGCAGAGGACATTCCACGGGTTCACGTCACAGTGGATGACACCCCTCCTGTTTCAGGGCATAGGCACGAAGAAAACTGAGCAGCTTGCAGCCTCCTGGCATTTGGGCTTGTTACAATTTATACCGAGAGTCACCATATCAATTAGGTCAACAACAGCAATAATCATCCCAGTTTTAACAAATATAATAATAATACAAAAAAATACAAAAAACAAGATTGCCAATATTATGCTAACTTAGATCCCGTAGACCACCAGAAGACCCAGCAGACACCCACACCACCAGGAGACCGCCAAAAGACGCCAGGACCAGGAAACCATCCTAAAAATGAGAAGGGTAACTATTTGGGTGCGGGCGCATAGGTTGCCCTGTTTGGTTCGTGCTTAGAATGTGCGCGAAACTGCGGTTTTGGCGTGATTTCTATAAAAAACAGGTTTATAGGACATCACG